ACTGGCGGGGTGGACCAGGGGGACCCGCTCGCGCCGCTGCTCTTCGCTTGCGGGCTGCGGCCGCACCTGCCCGCCCTGGAAAACGACTTGCGAGAGGCGGCCCGGGGGGCTTGGGGGGGAGGGGAGGAGGCGGGCCGGTGGGGGGGCCGGGGCGGGCGGGGGGCGGGGGGCGGGGCGGCAGGGGCCTCGGTGGCAGGCCTGGGGCAGGGTGGGGGGGCACTGGGGGGGGCGGCAGGGCGCGGCAGCGGGGGTGGGGGGCGGCGGCAGGGGGGGCGGCGGGGCGGGCGGGGGGCGGCAGGCAGGGCAGCGCCCGGGGGAGGGCGGCTGTCGGGGGCGGGGGGGGGGGCGGGGGGGGGGGCCGGGGGGCGGCGGGGCCGGGGGGCGGGCCGTCAGGGCGGGGGTGGGGCGGGGGGGGCGGGGGGCGGCCGGGGCGGCTAGGGGGGGGCGGGGGGGGGGCAGGGGGGCGGGGCGGGGGTGCGGCGGGGGCCGGGGGGCACGCCCCGCCACGAGCGGGGCGGGGGGGGGGCGCGGGGGCGGCGGGGGGGGTCCGGGGGGGGGGCGGGGGCGGGGGGGCGGCAGGGGCTTCTTGGGCAGGGGCTTAACCCAGACGACGTCCACGTCCTCGCCTACTTGGATGATGTCGTCGCGCTGGTTCCCTCGGCGCTTGCGGGCCGGGCGCAGGCGGCCGCGCAGGGGGCCCTCGGCGGCTTGGGCCTTGAGCTGGAACCCAGGAAAACGCAGGCTTGGTCCGCGGGGGCAGCCTGCCCTCCAGGACTGGAGGAGCAGTGGCGCGCGCGAGGCCTCACCCTCGTGGGGGTCCCCCTGGGAGGACCGCTGCCCCCCGCAGGGTTGCCGGACGAGAGCGACGCGCGCCGGGGGGACCTCGGCGAGGAAGCCTACGCGGCGGAGCGCTGCGCGGAGACGGCGGGGCGCGCGGCTGAACTGCTTGCCAGGCTGGCGGCCCTCCCCGCGGAAGCCTCGCCGCACTTGCCGGCCCGACAGACCGCCGCGCTGCTGCTCAGGCACACCGGGGCCAGCAAGCTGACGCACCTCCTCCGCGCGAACACCCCGGCGACCTCGGCGGCCGCCGCCAAGGCGTACGACGACGCCCTGCTGGCTGCTTACACGGAGCTCACGCGCCTGGACCCGCTGACAGAGACGCAGCAAGCCCAGTGCCGACTGCCGTTGCGCACCGGCGGACGCGGCTTCCGCAGCCAGCGACAACTCGCGCCGGCGGCCTGGGCTGGCTCCTGGGCACAGAACCTGAGCAGGGTGAGGGAACGCACGGGGCTCGCTTGCCTTGCCGACCTCGAAACCTGCCCCCTGCCCTTCGCTCGGGCTTGCTGCGCCGCGCTGACTGGGCTCGCGCGGCTAGCACCGCCGCCGCCTCGCCCGGGCGCGGAGCCCCCCGAACTACCCACCTGGCAGACGCTGGCACAGACGCCGCAGCGGAAGCTCCAGAAGACCCTAACAGCAAGGACCGACAAGAAAAATTACGACACCTTGCTGGGGGCTCTGGAGCCAGAAGCGAAGGCGCTCTTCCGCTCTTGCGGCGGGCCGCACGCCGGCGCTTGGCAGACTGCTTCGCCTGGCTTGGGGGCGCAGCGGCTGGGCGACGCCGACTACTGCAGCACGGCGCGAACGCTGCTCGGCCAAGCCGCGGCGCCCCCTGGCGCGACCTGCTGCAACCGCGCGCGCGCAGGGGGGCGCGCCGGGCAGCGCTGCGACGAGCCGCTCGGCGACCGGGCGCACCACGCCTGGCGCTGCGCCCGCGGGGGCGGCCTCAAGGCACGCAGCGGCGACCTGGAGCGCGCCTGGGGCCGCATCCACGCGGAGTGCGGCTACCGCGTGGACTACCAGAAGCACGTCCCGGCATGGGACCGCTGGCGCTGGCATTGCCCTAGCTGCGACACGAGCGGGCACGCGCCAGACCGGCCGGCGGGGCCCTGCGGCCGCTGCGGAGCGGCGCTGCAGGCGGAAAGGGAGGAATTCATCCTCGACCTCGACATTCAGCGGGCGGGCTGCCCCAGGCTGTTTGTCGACGTCACCGTGCGCTACTGCGTGCCAGGCGACGCCCGCGCCCTGGCTGCCGCGGCCGGCCGCGACGGCGCGGTGAACGCCGAGGCCGCGGCCGACAAGCAGCGGCGCTACCCCGCGGGCCGCGCCCCGCGGGGTATGGTGCCGCTCGCCCTCGAGACGGGCGGCCGGCATGGGCAGGCAGCCCTTCGGCACCTCCGCTCGCTGGCGCGCGACGAAGCGGCCCTCCTCGGCGAGGAGGCAGCGGCGGCCGCCGCGAGCGCCCTGGCGAGCCGCTGGGGGCGGGAACTCAGCGTGGCCCTCCATAGGGCCACCGCCCGGCAGCTCCGCACCGCTCTCGGGGCGGACGGCGCCGAGCGGGCGGCCGCGCTGCGGGCTGCCGAGGCGGCCTAGCCGGCCTGGCGCGGCGGTGGAGGAGGCGCACTACCGGGTCGTCCTGGGGCCGTACATCTGCATCGCGGAGCTCGGCCTGAACAGAGGGGGCGGGTGTGCGTGACTTGTCTCCTGCTTGAGGAGGAGGAGGAGGAGGAGGAGGAGGAGGAGGAGGAGAAGGAACAGGAGAAGGAGGAGGAGGAGGAGGAGGAGGAGGAGGGACAGGGAGGAGGGAGAGGGAGCAGGGAGGAGGGAGGAGGGAGGAGGGAGGAGGGAGGCAGGGAGGGAGGGTGGGTGGGAGCTCGCGAAGCAGGCCACCTTGGACCTCTCATAGGTGCCCTCGATGTTGAGCCCCGCAGGAGACTCTTTGTTTCACCAATTCTGGAAGTGCGAAGCAAATGAAGGCCTCGAGGGCTTGGCTTTGGAAATCCGAGAAGAAGCCCGACAGGTGCACGAAAATACACCGTGCTTCTGGCTCAGAGGCCTGGTCCCAATGTTTGAGGACCCCCCATATGCCACGAGGCCGTGCCAGAGCACCAGAGTTGTAGGAGGGGCCCTACTAGGAGGAAATAAGATGGCCCTCTCCAGCCTCACTAATGTAGCCTCTGGTGGATCAGGAGGCAAACGCCATGAAGATGCCAGGATCCGCAGATGTGGGTCGGGCGTTCTGGTGTTGGACGGAGCTCGGAGCTCGCGGCGGCGACTGAGGCCGCACAGGCGACGGAAGGACCCTTGTTGTTTGTCATTGATGCCCGGTCTGTAGTAGGTGACATTCGTGCAGGCCCAAAGCGTAGGTTCACGGTCAACACAGGTATGTGGAAGCTTTGTTGGGCCGCAGCGCCCGTCGAGGCCGGCAAAATCAAAAGCCACCTGACGGCCCAAGAGGCCGAGCAGGTAGGCATCTACCTTTTTTATTGGATTGCCAATCGTCTAGCTGATCTTGCAGCGGACGAGGACGCCCGCCAGGCCCAGTTCCCAGGTCAGGACATAGCGGAGATAGTGCGGATCGACGAGAAGGCGAGGAAGGTGCACGGGCACCTCCTGGCCGTCGCGACAGCGGTCGGCAAGGCTGCCCCCCGCCCTGCATGGCGCTTCATCGCGCCAGGATCGCCAGCGCGAGGCCAAGGCGCGGGCAGCAGCCAGGAAGGAGGTAGCAGCAGCAGCAGCAGCAGCAGCAGCAGCAGCAGCAGCAGCAGCAGCAGCCTCCCAGCACTCGGCCCAAGTGAACTCCAGAGGTCGAGTTCCCTGTCGCGTTTGTGTGCCCAGGCCAGGGCCTAGCGGACGCCATGCCTGGATTTCGAGCCCGTGCGTCGGATACCCGATCGCATTGCATTCCAGCCATAGAATCCAGGTTTTTAAGGGCGGTTCTAATGCGTCGCCTGTGGGGGGTACGGCACCACGAGCTTTCAGAAACTCAGCGCTGCGCGCAGGCCAGAGACCATCACCCAAGGTGGAAGACGTCTCGCGAATTCCCTCGAGGAGGGGATCTTGCCAGTGGGCATCAAAGCGTGGGCCCACCCAGATGACCTGAGGCCACCCAGGCCCATTTTTGAGCGCAATCAGTGCCACGCGGCCCCTTGTCAGAGGAATTGGCCGCTCAGTTAGGCAAGAGGTAACAGGAGGAAGACGAGGCGGAGGAGGAGAAGGAGAAAGAAGAGGACAAGGAGGAGGAGGCGGATGAGGAAGAGGAGAAGAAGGAGGAGAAGGAGGAGGAGGGAGGGCAGGATGGGACCAGGAGGAGGAAGGGGGAGGGAGGCGGAGGAGGAGGAGTGAGGAGGAGGAGGAGGAGGAGGAGGAGGAGGAGGAGAGGAGGAGGAGGAGGAGGAGGAGGAGGAGGAGGGAGGGAGGGAGGGAGGAGGGAGGGAGGGAGGGCGGGGAGGGAGGGAGGGACGGGAGGGGGAAAGCAGGGATCAGGAGGGAGGGAGGGAGGGGGGAGGGAGGGAAGGAGGGAGGAAGAGAACGGAAAAAAAAAGGGAGGGGGAGGAGGAAGAGGAGGAGAAAAAGGGGGATGAGGAGAGGGGGGGAGGAAGGCGAAGCGGAGGATGAGGGGAGGAGGGGGGGGAGGAGAGGGAGGAGGAGGAGGAGGAGGAGGAGGAGGAGGAGGAGGAGGAGGAGGAGGAGGAGGAGGAAGAGGGAGGAGGAGGACGAGGAGGAAGAGGAGGAGAGGGAGGAGGAGGAGGAGGAGGACGACGAGGACGAGGACGAGGACGAGGACTGCCACGGGCAGTTGTTCAACGTTTTCGGCCTCTGGGAGACCGCATCCCGGCCCCAGGGCTGGCACAAAACGACTCCGGATGAAAAGCCGGCCTAGCGGGGGGCAGGGGTCGAGATCTTTGGGGGCCGCGTCGCGCTAAAAGAAAAAGACGTCGGAGGAGAGAGGAGGGCGCCTCGAGAGAGGTCCAGGGATCCCAGCGTGCATCGTCTTTCGCCGCCCCCCCTGGCATCGGTCGGACGCGCGCATGTTCGCTGATTCGGCCAGCGCCCCAAAATCTGGACCACTTTGGAGCATTTCGGATCTCCTTGATGAAGACAAGACGCACGAAACCAAGTGGCGCACGGGGAATGAGCGACTGAGCGATGGAAAGCCCCAGGACGGTCCTGCACGCCAAGAGGCGCATACACGAATGCCTCACGGTCCTCGGCATCATGCACCAGCGGCGGGACCAGGAGGTCGCGGCGCCCGGGGCCCAGCGCGCCGACGAGATGCATTGCGCGATGGTCATGCTGAACTCGGGCCTCCTGAAGGCGCTGCACGTCACCGACAGCTTCCACGCGCACTGCCACCGCGAGTGCCCCGAGCTCGGCGCCCTACTGGACGGCGGCGACCCGCCTGCTGCGGAGGAGGCCGCGGCCGCACATGGCGACCCCGACGAGGGCCTGGCCAGCGAGCGGTACCGGCAACTTCAGGCCGAGTGCGTGTGCAGAGCGGAGCTTCGGGCAGGGGCAACGATAGGGGGGGGATAGGCATAGGGGGGGCACGCATCGACACCCAATCGCCCATTGATCGCTGATGGGGGCCCGATAGCCCCAACCTGCCCAAGAAGGTGCGGATTCACGATCGGGGGCCCATCGCCGACCGATTTGTCGGCGACGTATCGCCGATTGCAGGCCTCGGGACGATCGAAACGGGTACGGAACGAATGGGTGCGAAGACCAGCAGCAGTTCCTGTCCATTTTGAACAGGGCTCGCTGTCGGCGTCGCCGCGGACGTTGTCCATGTGAGACAGAAGATCGCCTGCCCAACAGCGGCCGTTCTTGGTTTTGAACAACATGTGTTGTTGGGCATGGTACCCGTTTCTTCCGTACTCACTGCGGGCGTCCGCAAGGTCGATGCGTCTCCCCCTTTATTCCAGTCCCTCCCTTATCGTTAACCCCTCATTCGGGGGTCCCCAGACGCTGCGGTGACGGCACCGTGTGGGAAGTCCGTCCGGCCGCGAGGTCGCCACACGGCTTCTGGGCCTGGTTCGTCCTCCGAGGGCGCCTCGTGCCGTGGGGGGGGCACCTCCGAGGCCCCGGGAGGGTGCGGCCACGGACCCAGCGGTGAGCTCGGCATCGCTTGGACGTGTGCTTCTTGCCTTCGGCGGCGGCGAGGGCCATCGAGGAACACCTCTTCGACCATCTTGCGAAGAAACGGGCGCACGAGATCCCGAAACGGGCACGCACAAGCGGACCTCCGAGCGATGGCCAATGAGGCCCGTTGGGGCTTCGAGGCCGCCGCACGCTCTGTCACCGCACGGTTTGGGGAACCCCGGGGATCAAGCGAAGAAAAACCACCCGGACCGAACAATTGGCGTTTAAGAAACGGCCTTGGGCGTTTAGTGGACAGCCTTGCCCCGTTCGATTCCTTCTCTTTGGGCGCGTTTGCGAGACGACTTCGCGTGTCGGGGTGGTTACGGTGGGGGCGTTGGTTTAGGAACGTGCACGGGAGGCTTCAGACCCTGGAGGGTTCCTTATCTGATGAGAGCGGCGGCAACATCCATTGCCAATCCGCGATTGGAGTTCTGGCTTCCAGGCCCTGAATTCCTTATCCAACGCTTCCTTCTTCAATGCCCCCACCCTGTTCCGGGGGTGGATTTTCTTACTTCTACTCTGAAGGAGCTGCTGCGCTCGCTGGACGCGCGCCACCGCGACGACGAGACGCGCGCGAAGCGCCTGGAGGACGAGTGCCGCGGCTTGCGTGCGCGGCTGGGGCAGGCCGCCTACGCAGGGGGCGGCCTCCCGCCGGCGAGCCGGCCGGGCACGAGCTGCGGCGTGGCTGTGCAGCGCTGCGCCGAGGGCGGGGTCGTCGTGCTCGAGCCTGAGCTGGGGCGCCTGGCGGCCTCCTCCAAGACAGGGGAGCGAAGAGTGGCAGGAGCATGCATATCTATATATATATATATACATATATATAGAAGAAGAAGAAGAATAATAATAAGAAGAAGAAGAAGGACAAAAAAAAAACTCGGAGGTCCGTATATAAACTCGGAGGTTAGCGCGGGTTTCGCGGATCCCCGCCGGGCCCCCCTGGCGGCGCCTCCGGCGCCGCCCCAGCGCGCTCCGCGCGCCAGGGAAGGGGGGGTCCAGCGCCGATCCGAGAACTCCGCACAGACCTCCGAGTTTTTATGTTTATGCCACTTTTTGTTCCCCTGCAAGAAGCTGGAGGAGGGCTGGGCGGAGGCCCGGGAGCAGGTGGGCGACGGAAGCAAACGGGGTCGTTTGCACGGACCTTCGCGCGTAGGGTCGCGCGTAGGCTTGAGCGCGCCCTCGTTTCTATTGCAGCGTGCCGCGCTGGCGTCAGATCGCTATGCAAGTGTGCGTAATTCCAGGGAGTAAAAAGTCATGAGAGTGATACGTTCCAAGATTCCCCAGGTTTCAAAGATTCCCTGTTGTTCCGCACGGGCTCGAGAGACTGAAATCCTGGAACGCTTTCAGTGCAATTTCCAGACAGAGCGTCTGGCTGTTTGTCAGTGAGGCGTCGCAGGAAGTCCTGATCCTTTCCCTGGGACCAGCTTTTCATCCCGAGTCGTTGTTTGACGGCCCAAGGGCCCGGCAAGGGCCCCCAGGGGCCGAAAACGGCGGCAAAGTTCCCGTCCTGATTTTTTCACGACGCGAGCATGTCTGGGGTCGTATCATCTCTGAGACCGTGCACGCCCGAGTAGGACCCGCTTCTCGTCGTCGCTGCAGGTGGGCAACGCAAAAAGACGGGGGTCGTCTTCGCCGACCTCGCCACACAAGTTTCCCGCGCGCAGGCGCGCGGCGGCGCCCTCGTCTCCAGTGTGCCGTGCCGCGCTGACGGCCCGCGCGAGCCACCGCGCAGGGTCTCTGAGGTCTTGCCGCGCCTTTTGCTCCGACGCGCGGCCTGACGTCCTGGGGCGGGCACCGCGGTCACCTCGGGCACGCGCCGCCTCGGGCGCGGGGCGTGCCGTGGGCTCGTGGCGCGGTGCTGGCGCCGCCCCCCCGGGCGCGGGACGCACGGCCTGCCGTGGGTGTGCCGCGGCCGTCGGCAGCGTCCGCCCGGGCGCGTCGAGGACGAGCGGCGCGGCGACGCGTCGCCTCGCGCAGGACCCGCCTCCCGCCGCCCCTCCAGGTGGAGCAGCTGCGCGCCTCGTCGGAGGCCGCCCGGCGCGGCGCCGAGAGCGCGGCGGAGGAGCGGCGCGAGCTGCGGGAGCTGCTCGGCGCGGGCGAGGAACCGGGGGCCCGCGGGTCGCATCTAGGCCTCCCAGGTGGGGTCGGAGGATCGCGCCGCATCGCCGATGCAGCGCTCATGCGGCTGGATGTGGAGGCCGATTCTCTCCACGCCGACGTCGCCGGTGCATCGCCGGCGTCGCCGATGCATCGTCGGTGCATCGGTGATGCATCGACGATTCGGCGCGACCCTCCGAACCCAGATATTCCGACCCCATTTGGAAGCCTTCTGTCAGAGGAGCAAGAGTTCATGGGGTCCACGTTGCGAGAAAAGTCCCGGCGTCGGAGTGCTGGGGCTCGTAGAATTAGGGGTTCGACGGCGGCGTCGGCGTCGGCGACGGCGTCGGGATGCTGGGGCGGGTGGTAATGGTAATGGGGGGTGACTGACACGGGACCCGTTGCTTCACCCCCCACCTCCCATTACCACCCGCCCGAAAGAGTGCATGATAACTGCGAAGATTCCTGAGGTTTCCTATGCTTGAAGAAGAAGAAGAAGTAGAGGGACAAGGAGGAGAAGGAGAAGGACAAGGAGGAGAAGAAGAAGAAGAAGAATAAGAAGAACAATGGCATAGACATAAACTTTCGGAGCTCCGCGCGGATCTCTTGGATCCGCGCTGGGCCCCTTCTGCCGGCGCCTCCAGCGCACCGCTGACGCGTTCCGCGCTCCCGGAAGGGAGGGTAGAGCTCCACGCGCTGGGGATCGGGGAGGTTATGATACGGCGGCGGCGTTGGATAAGGAACGTCTTCCTGGGGCCCAGACCCTGGCGCACTCCTTGTTGTTTCACGGCGAGGTGGGTGGCCCACGTTTGGCCGCCCATCGGTCGCGAGACCTTGGGTTCCTTATCGAAGGCATCCTGATCTAGAACCTCCACCGTAATTATTCCCCAGACATCCGGCGTCGCGAAACAATCGAGACGGAGGTTTCTCGTCGTTTTCGGACCCTCGGAGCCCTTCACCGGGCCTCAGGACCGTCAAGAAAAGAGCTCGGGATGGAGAACCGGTCCCAGGGAAGTGGTCGAGAAGTCTGGGGCGCGTAGCCGAGACGCTTGATGTTTGGATCTAGGCCTTCCAGATGGGGTCCGAGCAGATGGGTTCGGAGGATCACGCCGCATCGCCGATGCATCGGCGATGCGGCTCGATGTGGAGCCCAATTTTCTTCACGCTGGCGTCGCCGATGCATCGCCGATGTCGAGGATGCACCGCCGGTGCATTGAAGAAAATGCGGCACGATCATCCGACCCCGTCTGCTCGGACCCCATCTGGGAAGCCTCTAATACATGATTCGGCGGCGCGAAGGCCCGCCCCGTCTCACTTCCCCCCTGGCCTCGTCGCCAATAGATAGTGATACGTCCCAAGATGTCCCAGATGTCCTTGATGTCCAAATATCCCGCACGGGCTGCAGAAAGAAGGCCGCTGGGTACTCCAGAACTCATGGAACGCATCTTGAGCCAATTGCATCATGACATGACCTATACGACCGCCTTTCGGGTGATAAATGATACCAGAGAAAAACCCCAATCAGAATTTTGGGGGGGCTATGGGGCTTTAAGGCTTTAGGGCTATGGGGCTATAGGGCTATAGGGCGATGTGGCCATAGGGATTTAGGGCAAGAAGCCTTTAGGGCTATGGGGCTATAGGGCTACAGGGCTATAGGGCTGTAGGGCTAAGGGCTATAAGACTATTCGGGCTATAGGGCTATAAGGCTACAGGGCTATATACGGCTATAGGGCGTTAGGATCATAGGGCTATAGGGCTATAGGGCTATAGGGCTATAGGCTATAGGGCTATAGGGCTATAGGGCTATAGGGCTATGGGGCTATGGGGCTATTGGGCTATTGGGCTATTGGGCTATAGGGCTGTACGGCTATAGGGCTATAAGATTATAGTGCTATGGAGATATAGGGCGATTGGGCTATTGGGCTATAGGGATATAGGGCTATTAGGCTAGGCACCCCCGGGCACTTCTGGGCACCCCGGGCACCCCTGGGCACCCGGGCACCCGGGCACCCCCGGGCACCCCCGGGCACCCGGGCACCCGGCCCCGGCCACCGAAATCGGCCACACACCTGGGCACCCGGGCACCCCCGGGCACCCCCGGGCACCCGGGCACCCGGCCCCGGCCACCCGGGCAATCGGCGGCACAGACTACCTAACCCTTTAATCCGCTCGGACCCCTATAGAGGCAAGCTCTGATTGGGGAATAATAAAGAGGTTCGAGAGGAACTAACGTCTCACTCGATCGATCTGACTTTCGATTTGACCATCGAACTGACTCAATCGGTCTCACAATCGATCTCACAATCGATCTCGCATTCGATCTCACTATCGAACTCACTATCGAACTCACTACCAGTATCAGAACCGATATCACGATCGATCTCACAATAGATCCCATTATCGATCTCATAATCGATCTCACTATCGATCCGACTGTCGATATCACCATCGATCTCACTGCCGATCCCAGTATTAATGTCACTATCGATCTCACTATCGATCTTACGATGGGTCTGACTATCGATCGCACTATCGATCTCACTATCGATCTCCTTATTCATCTCACTGTCGATCGCACTGCCGATCTCACGATCGATCTAACTATCGATCTAACTATCGATCTCACTGTCGGTCTCTCTATCGATCTCACTATCAGTCTCACTACCGGGCACCGACGGGACACCAGCGGGACACCGGCGGGACACCGACGGGACGCCCCTGGCCAACGCCGGACATCTTGGGGGGTGGCGATTTTTTGGCCCAGCAGCGCCCTAGCCAGAGGAGGGTTCATTCCTTTCGCCGGCCCACGTAGCTTCGCCTCGCCCGCACGCACGACGACACGAAGCCGAAACCGATTTCCCAGTGGGGAGCTCTCCGTTTCACTGCGATCTCACCCCCTCACCTCCGATTCTCGCCCCAGCAGAGGCGGGGCTCATCCCAGAGTGGGGTCAGGGAGCGGACCCAGCCGGATGCTCGCCTTTTCTTCCTCCGAGGGCCGCTCAGCGCAACGAAGGATTGCAAAAAAACCCGCAACGAAGGATTGCGAAGGGTTTTTTTTTGCAATCCTTCGCTCACCTTTTCTTCCTCCGAGGGCCGCTCAGCGCGATTCCCCGTGGGAGGGGAGTTCACACAAGGTGGGCTTCGGGAGCGGACCCAGCCAGGTGCTCACCCACCCGTCCTTTCAGGGGGCGTCTCGCGCTACGCTTTACGTCGGGCATGCCCCTCTACAGGAGGAATACCTCAAAACAGACTCGTCTGGCGACGATGCTTCGACTATTTCTGTTGCCTACAGCTCCTGAGCACTTCTTGACCACGTTCTACTTTGTCTTCCAGGATCCGCCTGCAGGGGGGCGTGCCCGGCCTGCTCCCCTCCCGGCCCCGCTCTCCGCCACTGCCCCACCCCTGCCGCGTCGGCCCCCCGCACTCCCCACCTCTGCCCCTGCCCCACCTCTCCCAGCCACGCCTCCGTCGCGACCCCTCCCCGGGGACGGGGCGCTTCCTCTCGAGTCGCCCCGACGATCGTTCCTGGACGGCCCCGGGGCCCGGCGAGGGCCCCCAGAGGCCGAGAACGCCGAAGAGCAGTCGTCTTGATTTTGATCGGCACGCTGGATCTCTGGGTCTGGAACGTTGGGATGCGGTGGGGGCGTTCGTTCAGGAATGCGCCCAGGGGGCTGCAGACCCTGGAGGGTTCCTTATCTGCTGAGGGCGGCGGTGATATCCATGGCCAATCCACGATTGTGAAGTCTCACTGGCTTCGAGACCCTGGGCTCCTTATCTGAGGGACCCTTATCCACTGCCCCCACAGTAGCGCGTCGCCCCGCCGGCTCTGGCCCGCCACGCTTCGACGCGACACGCTACCCACTTCCCGGCCCCCCAGCGTCAGCGTGCGGAGCGCTTGTCCCCGCCTCCCGCCCCGCGGAGCGGAGCGGCACGCTATGCGCTCGCATGGCATATAGCGTGTCGCCGCGGCCGCCGCCGCGCGACTCGTTCGGCACGAGGCCCCCAGAAGTGCCGACCACTTCCCGGAGTCATCCCGGGTCGTCATGTGGAGTGCCCCAGGGCCCAGCAAGGGCCCCCCGAGGCCCAAAACGGCCGCACACACTTTCCGCCCGGAGTTCTGCAGGCATCGCGCACGTCTGGGGGCCCCGCGCCCCCCCCGGCAGGAGGGGCTCCAGGACGCGGTGGCCCAGCTGCTGCAGGACTCACCAGACAAGAAAGAGCCACCACCACGAGTTAGGGGGATGGACGCTCCCCCTCCCCGAGCTGGTGGCACCCCGTTCCGGGCGCGCCCCCAGAGAGTGCCCAGAACGGAGTGCCACCAGCACGGGAGGGTGTGTTTTTTTGGCCTCTCCCTCCTGTTCCTCCTGTTCCTCTTGTTCCTCCTCCTCCTCCTCCTCCTCCTCCTCCTCCTCCTCCTCCTCCTCCTCCTCCTCCTCCTCCCTCTGGAGTTCTGGTGGCAGTGGTCCCTGCTGCTCTCGTGGAGGACCTGGCCAGCCACGGGGCGGAGCGCGCGCACGGCGGCGCCCCCGCGCCCGGCGCGGCGGCGGTGGCGCCTGCGGGCTCCGGCCCCGACGGCGGGCAGCGGCCGGGCGCCTGCGGCGCCTGCGGCGCCGCGGGCGCGGAGCCCATGGCGGCGGCACAGGCCGGCGGCCTCCCCTGACCTTCCAGAGAGCTATGTTTTAGCACGGGAGGCCTAAAAACCTAAAACAACGAAACGAAACAGCCTAAAACCAAGACATGTAGTAGCTCTGGGTTAGGTTTTTAAGTCGCGTGCTATCATTTGTGTTGCCCTCCTGGAAGGTCAGGGTCTGAATTCCAAAAATTATCGGGTACTTGGATCGTCTGGGTGGTTGCTAAGTGTTTGGGGTGGTTGTATCTACTTGTCCCCAGGATCGTTGAGATAGCTATCTTGCGCGGGATCCTACTTGTAAGTAGGTCGTGGAAGCACCATGTTAACTAGGATCTGGAGGTTACCAAAGCTGAAACAATTTATGTTGATATCGTTTTTTTGATGTGTGTGTGTTTATTTATTGTATGTTGTATTTGATTTTTAACGCAGCGATGGCTTTTTTTCAAGTGATGTACTTGTTTTTTTCAAGGCGGCATTGTTTTTTTTCAAAGCGTGATTGTAAATATTGTCAGTTTCGTGTTGTTCTCAACCTAAGATATAGCAGCCCATTGAGCTGAAAACTGCGATAACACTAAATAATATGACCGTGCTGCCTGTGTACACCACGCACTATGTTACATGCATGTGACAGGGGCCCAAAGGAATCACGTGCTTTTCCACAAGCAGCGCGACGCATGCAATATCCCCTAAAGCATGTTGTGAAACACTGAAAAAGTCGACCCCATCCCTGGATTGCCAGTTAGTCCTCCCCCCCACACTGCGCGCATCAGGCACCCGTCTCGGTGTGCCTCAGACGCGCTGGGAGCAAAACTCGAGAGATCTGCCCGTCGGGGACGGGCCAGTAGATACAAGGCTCGACCACGCACACCGTATCTACAAGGATCGGGTCGTTGCAAACAACACACTGCACGAGGTCCACCTGCCTCGCCCGAACAGGCCACCTCGATATGCATGTCACTGTGCTTCCAGCGCTACGCGCGTGAAAGTAAACCTGGCCAAACGCAGTGCGACCCTGACTGTCAGAGTACGCAACCACGTCATTCACACAAACTACTCTGTTGTTGCACCTCGCAGCCTTAGCAGTTTCTGCACCTTGGGTGGGGAAACCAATCAGGCCGCATGCCAAAATGGCATCCTTGATCTTCTTGCTAGCAGGGGTGGCACCTACGAGCTGGTCTTTCACAAGCGAACTGCGCAGCTCGAACAGATGTCTAACAGTTACGTCTTCGAGAAGTCCTCTCTCGAATGCCTTCGTGTTGTGTCTGTCGTCCGCAAACATCTTTAAAGTTCTATGCTTGCGCTCTTGCAAAAAAGTGCTCTGTAAACAATGATGCTTGATCATCTGTGGAGCCAAATGCAAAGCATAGTGATGCTTTGGCCTCCACAGCTCCTCGCCATAGCAATTTAAATGAAGCTGCAAATGGCGCGCGATCGCTTGGCCGAGAGTGGACGCAGCCACCACCCCAGTGTTGACTACACTCAAAAGGCGAACCACGTGGCACAGCTGCAAGGCAGACTCAACCTCGCCTGGGCACAGTCCTTTGGGCACAGCAACCCCGCGCAGAAACATCTCGAACACGGGAGCGCACGAGAGTTGTTCGGAAGCGTTGCCACCAAACGAGTTGTTCTTACCATGCACAATGTCCTTGCCATGCGAATACCCACCTGGCCACCGAAATTTATTCAGGTACACTCTGAACGCCTCAGTCGGAAGACCATTGCACGCCAAGGCTTCCAAACATTTGTCAGCCTCCACTGTGAAGAGCCCCGTGATAAAGTAAATGTGCATCCAATCCCAACCGAAGACCTGCATCATGTCCACGTCGAGCCACTCATCTTGCAAGAGTGAAGTGGGATAGAAGTTAAAGCCGAACTCCGTCTGCTTTACCTCTAGCTCGGCGTTGGTGCAGGTGGCGGCAATCTCTGCCAACCGACGCTGAATGCCTCGGATGGACTGCTTCGTATGGGGCTGGAAATCGCGAAGGTCGACGTTCGTACTCGGCACGAGGAAGCCAGTGGAATCGGGAAGCCACGACGACTTGAACGAGCAAGCGTTCTTGCAGAGGCAGCACAGTTTGTGCGCTCCAGCGCCTTTTAGATGCAGCCCAAATTTGTGAGCACGTTCGTCCTGTAGCAAAATCTTCAATGACCCGAACACAAGGCGGGGCTCATCCTCACCAGCTATGCTCAATGCCACCCCGCGTCGGAGGTCGTTGCCACTACCGTCGGGCCGACCGAAAAAAGAATGCAGCACCAACTTCATGGCTTCGGATGCGCCGCCAGGGAGACGGTCGACCAGCGAAGACCGCATGCCAGTTATTGTGAACCAGGATTCTTCGTTTGACAGAATGGGGAATCTGAAGCCTTCTATGCCCCAATACATCGCGAGAAGCTTTCGGAAATTGTGTGCCCCCAGCGCATTTCCTGGGACGATCTCGTCCGAGTAAAATATGATACCAAGCTGATTCCCATCTCTATCAAGCGTATCTCTTAGAAGCGTCCTGAACTCCAGGCTGGCTCTACACGCTGCCTCGAGCATCCCCAGCGGATGTTGTATCCAGAACGTGACGGGTTTGCCGTTGACACCTGCAGCAGTCACGGGCTGCAGCAACGGCCCGAAACTCGTCGATTCGAAAGCGATATCTTGCTTGTCTCTCCTCTGGCTACTACAAGAGAAATAGTCGGGCAAGCCATGGTCCCTGACTTGCGTCAGGAGCTTGTTCAGTGCCGACGCAGTCACGTGGGAATGACGACCGTATTCTGCCAGCCTCAGCTTCTTGCGAGGCGGATCAAACATGACTCGAACACAAACGGTTACGGACTCGACGACCTCGGAGGTACCCGCGAGTGTGAGCGGTCTGTGTGAGTGAATCTGGATATGCACACCCATATTCAATCACACAGACCGCTCACACTCAGCTCAGGGTCGTCCCTCGCCCAATCGCCAAGGATGTCTCGATCGAGGCCCTGCTTTCAACATCAAACAGGGGGTTGCGCCACGGGGTGTTCCACGGGTCCCGTACGAGCCCAGATTGTTGGTTCGCCTCATGCACATGGCTTGTTTGGTTGCGTCTGCTTTCAGGACAGATTGTGAAGATGTCTCCAGCAACTCGTTGGTCCCAGCATCCCTGAAGGCATTGCATCTCAAGTTGTGACGATGTCCCAAGCGAGTTGTGCGCATGGTTGCCCACGACCCTTTGCTTTAACATTCGATTGTGAGGACGTCTCGAGCGAGGCGCTTGCTTCTGCAGCCTACGGTATGCGCCAGGGTTTAGGGTGCTCGTCCGCTCGCACCCAGGTTGATACGGTTTGCCCGTTAGAGTGGCACATCGGCAAGACATGTATCAAGTGCATGCCCCCAGGTAGTGAGAGAGAGAAAGGGAGAGCGAGCAAGCAAGCGAGCGAGAGAGCGAGCGAGAGAGCGAGGGAGAGATAGAGGGGCAGGAAGGGAAGGCGTGAGGAGGGAGCGAGGGATGGGAAAGAGAGACAGAGTGACATAGAGAGGATGGGGCGGGCATTGCACGACGGTGGCAACGAGGATTGAAGAGGGCAGAGCGGCATCCAGTCGCCGTGGTGCTATATGCGTTGCTTGCGCAATCACCCCGAATCGCTGGCGCCGACAGTGCAAACTCAAACCCGCATGTCTTTCCATTGAGGGCGCTCTAGGGGCTTCAGAACACTGCAAGGCCCAGAAGGGCCACCGAGAGATCTAGCCACGAAACACTGACGAGGCTCGCTGGTAAACGAACCTCCCGAACTCAACGCACTGCGCGTCGCTGAGGCCGTGCGCTCTGGCAAGAGACTTAGCCTTGGTGTAAGCGCTACTAGCAAAAGCATTCTTGGAGCGGCCCTCCCACATCTGGTCGGCTGCGATGAACCTCGCGAAGCTCAGCCCCCCCCACGCGCCACGATGCTCCCACTTGCCTGGGGCGGCGGCGGCGCGGGGGATGGGATAGGGAGAAGGGGTGACGGCTGCGCACTTGGGTGCTTTGGGTGATGTTTTGGGTACGGGGCCTCGATGCATCGCTTGCGGCCTCGAGGGGTGGTTGGGACCCCAGCTCTCACAGGGGGGCCCTGGGAATGGGTGGGAGGGGCGAGGGGGCCAGGACACCATCGACACAACGCTGCATCCCCTGGTAACCCCGAACTGCTTCCCATAAACATGGCCAGCCGCGTGCGGCCATATAGCCAGCTTTTTCCATGGGCCCGACGAGGCCTGTGCGCCCCCACCTGCGCCAAACCATGGCTCCCGTTGCAGCCGCCAGCCCCCCCACATCAGCATATATTCGCTCCCCATCGCTCCTTATCCATCTCACCCACCATTCCACCTCATCGCCACTCTCCCCCCGCATCCTCATCCTGACCCTCCTCGATTGTTCCCATGCGCACTTGGAGGTAACAACTCCTCCTCACTCTCACGCTCCCCATCCTCCTCCTCCTTCTCCGCATCCTCCCCCCTCCTCCTCGCCCTCCAGCCCCGTCTCCTCATCATCCTGCCTCCCCCCATTCATCCTCCTACTCCTCACCCTCCTCACCCACTTCACCCTACACACTCCCCTCGTCCCCGTGTTATGCCACCGCGCGCCTTCGCCCTTGGCCGCGGCCGCCTTGGCCTTGGGCGCGGGCTTAGCCTTGGCCTTGCCCTTGCCCTTGCCCTTGCCCTCAGCCTTGCCCCTGGCCGCGGGGCGGCGCCTCACGCGCGCGCCCGCGTCATCCTCCTCCTCCGCCTCGCCGTCATCATCGGCCTCGGCGGCGGCCGCAGCTGTCTTGCCCGCGCGCTTCATCGGGCGCTTGGGGCAGCGCCCGACACCAGCAGCCTTGCCACGGCCAGCGGCCTCGGCTGCACCGGCCATCGCCTTCTCCAGCGCTGCCGCCTCGCCCACGCCGTCCGCGGCGCCATCAGGCGCGGCGGCGGCATCAGCCAGCGGAACAGGGCCAGCAGCAGCAGCGGGCATCGCCGACGCCTGGCCATACAGCGGCGACCCCATCACAGGGCTACCACTGCTCGCCGATTCACCAGTACGAACGCCCCTGGGCCTGGTGCCGAGCAAGGGGTTGCCACTCACGTCGCGCTGGAGGTTCGTGCCCACGAGGTCGTTGATCATCTGCTGCACCTCCATGATGAGCGACGGGTTTCGCAGCATGGCGATCCAGATGGCGCCCATGGGGGTCCTGCACTTGCCCAACGGCGGGCTGGGGCCGCGCCGCCATCAACTGATGATCAACAGCTCGACCCGATGCCTTGTGGCTCTTGCGCGACGGCATCGGCCTCACCAGCCGCTCCATGTGCTCGAAATCAACCTGGCGCGCGAGCGGGGTCAATGAGCGAGGGTGCGTGGAGGGATTGGACGAGGGTAGAGGATGAGAGGGATTGTTGGGCAGGGTGGGTTCGAACAGGAAGGATGGCGTGAGGAATGGACGCCAACGGTACAACCAACGAGGAAAGGGCAATGACAGGAGAGAGGGGTTTGGCAATGCGTTCAAAGTTTACGACACGGGTCAACGATGAGGAGGATACAGCATGGGTGGACACGGACTGTGACTTGGCATGGATGTGATGGGGTTTCTTGTGCTATAGCACCTGGGACTCCACGGGGCCATCAGTCCCCTCGTAGGCGAACTGCATGACCTGCGCTGGCAGCATGGTCGGGTCCTGCACGTACCTCTTGATGTGGGAGTGGGGGTACGACCGCACCTCGTCCAGCGTCTTAACCTCGCCCTTGATCTTTTTCTGCCACTCCTCCTGCTTAGACGGAGTAGCATCAGCATGCATCGCGAGCTGCAGGATTGCAGCGGCCCGCTTCTGGGTGCTCTCCGCTGGGCACGTGATGCCCAGCCTCCACATGCGGTGCGCGATGCAATGGATTTTCGGCCCCTCTGCCAAGTTGGGATTGCGGAGCAGGTGCCAATCAGGAGCCGTGAAGAAGCGCTCCAGCGACATGCAGTGTTGCTGGTCGCGCTTAGACTTCTTGCCCTTCAAAGGTTTGGCCACTGCTTCCTGCAAGGCGCTGGCTAATTGAAGCTTCTGCCCGTCGGACCACGGGCCTCGAGTGATGGCCGAGGTGATTGCTGTGGCCGCGTCCTCATCCATGACGTGCTCCTGCATGATCTCGCTGACTATCGCACCGCACTGAGCTGACAACAGGCTCTCGCGGTCTATGCCAGCGGTGGCCTGCGCCTCGATGAACCTGACGCGCCTCTCGATCAGCCCGACCAGCCTGTTCGCGACGTCAGACTCCGAGGCCATCGGGGAAGCCGCTGCTAACGTATCTACGCGTAGTGCACAGGGCATGGCCGAAGACGCGGGGCACCCCAGCAGTAAACGAGCCAAAATGGCTACAGGGATTGGTGGGGGGGGAAGGGGTACGCCGTTAATTCTTGACGCTTCGCGTATCCCCACCATCCCATCCAGAAACGATCAGCATGGGAGTTGGTGAATCAGGGGCGGCAGAACGCATGCAGTCGCGCAGCCGTCTTCGAGAACACACGCATCACACATAGCTTCCCGCATTGAAGTTTAAGATGGAAATCCGTGCAAGTTACGATGGTGCGTCGATGAGAGGTGATGGGGTATTTCAATGACTCGTAATGGCTGTTGCATTGATTTGTATCTTAAATTCGCGTGCGTTCCGGAACTTGGAGGCATCTGGGGGCCCGCTTGGGATTCTATTGGGTCCCCCTTGGGGCCTCCTGTGGCTCTTTCTTGGGGCTCTCCTGAGGTCCTCTTAGGGCCTTCTTGGGGCTTCGTGGAGCTCTCTTGGGGCGTCTTGGGGCTTCGTGGTGCTCTTTTGGGGCGTCTTTGGGCCCTCTTGGGGCTCTTTTGGGGGGTCTGGGGGGCCTTCTTGGGGCTCTTGGGAGTGGTCTGGGAGGCCTCATGGGGCAGTTTTTGGCAGCATTGATCAACAAGAGGGGCTGCGTTAATTCTTGCCCTCCCCCCCTCGGAGGCTCAACCATGCAGTCTTGGGGCCCTCTTGGTCCGCTCTTGAAGCGCTCTTGGGCGCTCTTGGGGCCGTCTTGGGGCTCTCTTGGGCCCCTCTTGGGATTGTCTTGGGCCATCCTGGGGCCACCTTGAGGCATCAAGAGCCCTTCGGAGGCGACAGCGCGAGAAGGCAACAACCACTGAGTTTCCTTAGGTTTTTGAATGATTTTGGCATCTTGGGGGGGGGTCCTTGGAGGCCTCGGAGGGCACTTGAAACCGTCTTGGGGCCGTCTTGAGGCCTCTTGGACGCGTGTCGGGGGCTATCTTGACCCGTCTACCGCTACCTTGGGCCATCTTGGAGGCAATCTTGGAGTTTCTGGGGCCCTCCTGTAGCGATCTTGGGCCAAGAAAGACGCTCTGACACATCGCCCCCCCCCCCCCGTCCAGACGCAAGGAGGGGGGGTGAGGTAAACCTCCCGAACAGGGAAAGGGAGGAGGTTGGAAACGGAAACGCGCTATACCACCTGCGCCCAGAGGGCTGGTGGGATTTGCAATGCTGTTCGTCGGTGGCGCAGTGTAGCTCTCGGGGTTTCTGTCAGCGCTTGAACGGTTGCACTGGTTGGCTCAAGAAATCTCGGCTCAAGGCCACAGAAAGGCCCAAGAGGGCGCCAAGACGGGAACCACGGAGTTCCCAAGTTTTCGCGGTGACGCCTCACAGAAAAATGGCCGGACGGTATACTTCGCCTGCAGCGGCGCGCCTGCATACCGCTCAGCGACCAGGCAGAGTGGAGTATAGCGATGGAGATCGAGAGACGTGCGATGGGGTCCACCTTGGTGCGAAGTGCTACCTGGCACTTCGCACGCCCTGTGCGAAGTGCCACCTGGCACTTCGGACAGACGTTCGAAGTGACACCTGCCACTTCGCACCGATCTGTCATATCATTTTCATTAGCCTGGCTGTCCAAAGTCACAGGCGTGACATCGGACGGTTGTCCGAAGTGCCAGGTGGGAGTTCGCACATGGCGTCCGAAGTGCTAGGTAGCACTTCGCACCGACGATGCATCTGCCAGATGCGCCTCAGCCGATAAAGGTTTCGGCGGCTCACGCGCATCACCGACGCATCGTTCAACAGGCTGTCGGGGTGGTGATGGCTGTTTTCTGACAGTCTGGCACCTCGTGCCGCGTAGTTGTCCTCACGAGTGCTTGCCCGCCAGCGAGCCCAAGCGCGGGCGACCCCATCGCTGCGGCAGTGCGCAGTGAATTCGATCATGAAGCAAACTGCGCGCACATCCAGACGAAAGATGTGGCTCGACGGGCTCGCCGCGCCCGTGCGGGAGCACCGCCATCCCCTCAGAAAGGTCGAGAGAAACAGCCATTGCCGTCGGCCCTACTCCCCGCCGTCAACTGCCGCAGCGCCCGCTGCGCCTCCTGCCGCGTCAGCTTCCGAGTGGGGGTCGGCGTCCTGGGCTGCGTCGTTGTCGAAGTGCCACTCGTGGTAGAACGCCTCCAACACCGCCACCACCCTGTTCACGTTCTCCTGGTAGGCCGCCTCAGTTGCGGCACTAGGCACCTTCATGGACTTGATCTTCCACTTCTGCGAGGCTTGCGCAAAGAACTGCACCCTGCACGACCGCCTGTGCCGCACCCACTCCACCACCTCGCTGTCAATGATCGGGATGAACTCGTCGCTGACATCTGGCACGCTGGGGGTCTCGCAGAGTAGGTCCATCGAATCTGGCGTGAGCTCGAGACACAACTTCGCCCTGGGGTCCGCCGCAGTGCGAACCCGAACGTCACGCGAGGCGCCGTCCTCCAACTTAGCGGTGATCACCGTCGAGCTGTCGATCTCGTCAATCAGCTCCTTGCGCGGGCGTTTGAGCTGGTACACAGCGGGGGTGGACTGGGAGGGCCCGCCCAGCGGGTCGACGCCCATGTCCGCCACGGCCATCATCTCGTTGGTACGCTTGTTCCTGAACCGCACCAGCTCGTCGATCATGGCAACCTTGCCGCCTGCGAAGCGCACGAGCTTGTTATCTAGCTTGTCGGCCACGACGTACTTGCGCAAGTCGGTGTGCTGCACGACTAGCGGGTACCAGCTGTTGCCACTGTTCGGGCTGGCTGCCCGACTCACTTGGACGAACCCCTCCACGATCGAGCACATGTCGACGCGAGCGGCCCGCGCGTAGGTCGATGGCAGGGCGCGGGGAGCTGAGCGACCTCGTTTGAGCCAGAGCCGAAATGGTCACGGACGGCGATGTCGTTTCTGCTGATACTTATTTGAGGCGGCCCCGGGACATTTGTCTTCAGGCGACCCCATGCTTGCAGTGCTGTCTTCCACGAGCCCACGAAGCTTCGGGGCATGCTTCTGGCCCTCGAGGGCCCCCATCGTCGCAGCCGCTGGACGCGGCTCGAACAACTTGTGCGTTTAGACCTCAGGAGGGGTATATGGGGCCGATTGCGAGATGGCGTTGGCCGACGACGTCGACGACGACGCCGACGACTCCCCTCTATCTGGCACCGTTTATCTTGTACCGTTTACGTGCAACCCTCTATTGTGTACCGTTTACGTGCAACCCCTCTATCTTGCACCGTCTACGTGCAACCCTCCAGTCGCGTCGATTCTACCCTCGATCTTGTACCGTTTACGTGCAACCCTCAATTATGCACCGTGTGCGTGTACATGTCCGTTTATCTTGTACCGTTCACGTGCAACTTTCTATATTGTATCGTTAACGTGCAACCCTCTATCTGGTATTACGTACAACCCTCTATCTTGTACCGTTTACGTGCAACCCTCTATCTTGTACCGTATGCGTGCACCCCCTCTATCTTGCACCGTTTACGGAGCTTCATGGGCGGGGGCAATATGGCCCCAAGAGAAGCCTACGGACCGCCCCAGAGAGCTCCAAGACGGCTCCAAGAGGGCCCGAACAGCAGGCGTTTCTGTAAAGACGGGGCCCGAAACGGAGATGCGATCCTTTCATTGCGTGCCAATGGTTTTCCCCCATTCTATGCGATACCGAATGTTGTCGCTCGAACTTGCCGCCTGGGGGGCTTCTTGGGCCGTCTTGGAAGCCTCTTGGGGTCGTCTTCGGGCCCTCTTGGAGATGCCACGGGGCCCCCGTGCGCCTCTCCGATGGCTCGCGAAGGCACTGACGCAGTTCCAACGGGCTCCCCAAAGGGCTCCAAGAGATGCCCCTATAAAGCCCACACATGTTCCGCGTCGAGGCCAGCCCCGCTCCACGAGCATCGCTTCACACGCAAAAACACGCAAGCCAGCCCGACGCTGGAGCGCACGATATGTGCGAAGGGCAACCTACCAATCAATCACTTACCTGCCTCCCGCCGTAGCCGCTCGGACACTCGAGCAGCGGCGAGGGGGTGCACAGCCACGGCGGTGCAGAGCTGCATATACACAACGGTCCAGTACCCTCCCCGTTGTCGTCCACTACCCTTCCCCCCATCAGCCCCCCCACTGCCCTTCCAACTATGTCAAGCTGCTTCGGACGGACGCCCCAGCAGCTCAGCTCCTCTTGGCCCTCTTGGGCACAGGCGCAGCCTTCGACGGAGCCTTCGGCTTGGCCTTCGAGCTGGAGCCTGAAGCCGCCGACGGATCGGGCTCCGCAGGCGAAAGCACGGGCTTGAAAAGCTTATCGCCCTTCTTGATAGGGGCGGGATTCGTGAGGTAAGGAATGCGCGCGAACGACGTGGCCTGGCCTTCGCCAGCGGACACGTGCACGCGCTGCCACTTGACGCACATATTCACAGTCGACGGGGCTTTGCCTGTGGGGACGGCCCAGAACGGCACCTTAAGGGGCTCGGGGCCTTTGGGGATGGGGGCTTTGGAACCAGCCAGCACTTTTGGCCGCTGGCCAAACCCGCCACCTCGACCTCCACTGCGGATGTTGGGACCTTGGGCCCTGTTCCCACAGACGTGGCCATGGGCACTAATTTCAGCCCGTGCTTGGGGATGTCACCTGCCGCGGTGACCGACACAATCTGAGGCCTCTGACCGTCGCTGAAAGAGACGGCGAACGAGAGAGCATGCTCGGACCGCCCAGCCTTGAGCTCGCAGCACAGCCCCCACAAGGCCTTCTTCACGTTGGCCACGGCTTGGTCCGCCATCACGGAGGGGTTCTCCTCCCGCGAGGGGCGGCGGCATCGGAAACGAAGACGACAACGAAGAACGCAGGCACCCAAAAAGCAAGACCTTGCAGCCCCGACGGCGCCCCGAGCAAAAAAAAAAATAAATGATTTTCAACCCGAGGGGACCACCGACAAAAACGGCTTGTCATGCGCCGACAGACCACGGAACCAGGATGCCTTACGGCTCGTTGGGTGTAATCCCACCAGCCTTCTGGGCGCAGGTGGTCTAGTGCGTTTCAGTTTCCAACCTCCTCCCTTTCCCTGCTCGGGAGGTTTACTTCCCCCCTCCCTGCATCTCGACAGGGCGGGGGGGGGTCCCGATGTGTCAGAGCGTCCTTCTTGGCCCAAGATCTCTACAGGAGGGCCCCAGAGACTCCAATATTGCCACCGAGATGGCCCAAGCTAGCGGTAGACGGGTCAAGATAGCCTCCGACACGCGTCCAAGAGGCCTCAAGACGGCCCCAAGACGGTTTCAAGGGCCCTCCGAGGCCCCCAAGGACAACCCCCCAAGATGCCCAAACCCTTCAAACACCTAAGGAAAATCAATGTTGTTTGCCTTCTCGCTGCTTCGCCTCCGAAGGGCTCTCGAGAGTCGAAAACAAGCTGGTAAGCTTAGGTATACAGTCCGCCTTAGGCGCTTCCATATCCCAGGCTTAGGCTCATAGCGCATGAGCAAGAGAGCGAGACGAAGCATGGGATCTGGAGTAAAGAGTAGGATGGGCATCGTCAATGGAAAAGGATGTTTTCCGATCTCGGATGCAAAGAAAAAAAAAAAAAAGAAAAACAAGAAAAAGAAAAATGAAAAAAACAAGAAAAAAAAGAAAAAAAAAAAGACAAAAAAAAAAAAAGAGAAAGAAATAAAAAAAAAAAAAAGGCAAAAAAAACAACAACAAAAAAAATAAAAAACAAAAAAAATGGTGAAAGAAAAAAAAAAAAAAAAAGTAGTGCGCCTCAGTGAGGCACAGTCACATATCTGGCCGGGCCCGGCTTGAGCCAGGCACGGCAGCGGTACATGCTCGATTTATACCTCGCCTTTAACCTTCTCCGTTTAAAGTCGGAGGGGGAGGAGGCGAGCAGGTACCGCACTTCTATTATGCGGAAAAAACAGTGCTAAGCAGCAGCGGCTGCCTACAAGGAAAGGGCGCGCGAGTAGCCTCGCTACCGGCGAGTTTCCTCGCTGCTAAAGCGCACCTGCCCGCGGGTTTCCCCGCTGGCTCGGGAGGCAGGGCCGTCCTGAGACGACCTGCCCGCCCTATACGATGTATGTTTCTTCAGCTCGTGCTTGAAGGATTGATGGCCGGCCATTACTTGTAGGAGTAACGCGCGGTCAATGCTACCTTTGGTATGACCATCGGCAGTCATATCCCGCGTGTCACACCATTGGACGCTTTCCACGATTCCACGTTCCATCATCTGGCGAATCCAGCTGATGTGCCCAAGCAGAGTGCACTCTGTGGGCTTCTTCAGATCCTTGCTAGACAAAGATTTGAAGACAGACTCGGCATCAATAGTCAGAGTGACTTTGATACATAGACCGCCCATTTCCAATATGTTCTTCAACTGTGTGGGGGTCAATGGTCCCGAGTGTAGCTCGTGGAGCGTTACAATGGTCGGGTAGCAGTCTTCCAAGTTGTGGGCTGCTGCCAGAGTTTCCGCAGAGTAGCTCGAACGCACTTGCAGTCGATGAGACTTGCAGTATGCGTCCACCAGGTGCACGACGGGTTTCCCCGCTTGCGTGTGGCCACGCCTCAGCAGGTTAGCCCCGCGGATACCATAGCCTTTGACATCGTCGTCTTCATCTCCGTTGAGACGACGATAAAAAAAAGAAAAAAAAAAGACAAAAAAAAAAAAAGAAAAAAAAAAAAAATAAAAAAAAAAAAAAAAAAAAAAAAAAGAAAACAAAAAAAAAAAAATAAAAAAAAAATAAAAATGAAAAAAAAAAGAATAACGAAAAAAATAGAAAAAAAAAAGAAAAAAAAAAAAAAAAAGAAAAAAAAAAATAAAAAACAAAACAAATAAAAACAACAACAAAGCCAGAATCCTATGCATCGGTCGACTTCTCCCTGTTGGAGTCATAGCTGATCATGTCTTTCTTCGGACCTGCCTGTAGCTTTCTGGTAACCGCGTTTAGTCGTCGTACCTGGATGTGTGTCGGTTCCTGGATACGTTGTAGTGAGACAACATAGACCATCAGCCATACCTGCGTGATCAACGCATAGGCTAGAGCGCCACGAAGACTAACGAACATATCAGAAATTGTCTTCGTCGCCTTGCTTTCAGGATCAGCTCCTGTGAGTTCTGGATGTGTGATAGGACGAAGCTGTTTGATGTATTCGTCCTGATCGAGAGTGGCGCTCCCATCATCGGTCTTGTTGTACCGAACAGCACAGTTCGTGTATGTGTGCTTGTTCAGTTTGCACTTCCCAAACGTATCTTCAACACACTTGACATACTTGTCGATAGCCTCTTCCTTCCCAGTCATATTGATGTCATCAACGTGCTTGGCTGTCAAGAGGTTTGGGCTCATCTCGAACTCTTCGTCGTATGAAGTAGGCTGTAGCCCAAAGCTCCTAGTGATGGACCTGAGCTTCAGCGAGAATGCCCTGGGAGCATCCTTCGTGCCCGCCCCCGGTTTCAGACACCGGAGACAATGCTTTGATTCGTCATATGACTCAAAGCCTGCAGTGTGCGAAGGACAGCTGCTGACCCAGGTGGTAGTGTGAAGCACACCACACGCTCTTTCTCGCCCGTTGCCGCGGCGAGCTCGCCATAGGTCAGTCCCTTCAAGAAAGCCATGTTGATGTCCAGGGAAGCGATGATCCAAGCTTTGTTGCATGCAGCAGAACTTGCTAGCAGTCTCTGGCTTGACCTCCTTGCCGTGCCAGAGAAGGTTTCGACATCAAAGGCTTCAAGGTCCATGAAGCCACGGAGTACCAAGCGTAACCTGATCGTCCTTTCCATTTCGCCCTTTTCGTTCTTGACAAACTTCCATTTGTATACGTAGCGTGACGTCATGATGTTAGACGCTTTGCTCAAGTCAGTCATATGGAAGCATTTGTTGTCAAGCCAAGTCTTCAATTCTGTGTAAAGGGCTTTGGAAACTTTGACCGGATTTGCTTGGATGTCGGCCTTCGTGAGTAGATCGTCTTCCTTGACGACCACGGCACGTTTGGAGGCAGCGCTAACGTATACTCGCATAGTTGTGACGCTGCTGTCATCCAACAGTCGGTGTTGCTGCTCGGACAGGACGACTCTGGACATGTCTGCAGTGAAGCAGAGCTCGATATACTTCCCGTGCTCATCGGAGTCCAGATCATATTTGCTATCCGGTTCCGTGGAGCATAAAGGAACGTAGTAAGAAGTGTCCATGTCGTATCCTGGCGGGTGACCCCGCTCCGGCAAGTGGCCTTGCACATCTTCACAGGTCGTAGAGACTAATACACACTGTGTGTCTGTCATGTATGTAGGAACTGTATGCATGACTTCCTCTGTGTCAGCTTCAAGGAGTGTTCTGTCATCCATCAGTTCAGCATACCACGACTTTAAGACAAAAGCATCCAGATCTTCTTCTGTCTCCTCTATGATGGTCGGGAGCCGACCATCGTTGTCCGTAGGAGGCTCCTCAGGAGCAGCTGCTGGAGGTGATTCGCTTGGTGGTGGACCATCAGCGAGTTCCTCAAACTTAGTGAGATCTTGGTCAAACCCAGCAGACGGCTTCCTGGATTTAAGACACTGGATGATGCGTGAGTGTGTGGATCCTGTGATGTCATAGATGTTCAAGGCAGTGCCATCAGCTTCGTAGTAATGAAACCCAGGGGTCACATCATTATCATAGTGCACTAGTGTACAGCTGTCTGCATAGGGTGCAGCAGGCAGCTTCGTCAGGCTCTTGGCGAGTCGTACAGCAACAACGTTTTCAATACGAAAGTAGTTGCGTAGGAGGTACTGAAGAGCCAAGTGCACCTTAGGTGAAAGTCGGCTCGCAGCAGTCATCTGCAGCCGACCCTGTTTCGTTGGTAGATATCCGAAAGTCATGGCGGGTTTCCCCGCTGGCAGACCGGCAATAAAGGCCAATACTGTTCGAAGGGCCATATTGTCCGATCCTATCTCGCGGACCATAAGTGCTTCGATGTACAGTGTGTGTCGTGTGTCAGGATACTGTTCTCGTACTTCGCGATTGCCGACCTTCACGATGACCTGGCCTCGGTCAGGTTCGTTGCGGATGACCGGGTATGGACCACTCCATCCACCCCAGTCGTCTTTCGTGGTGGTCGGACGGTGATAGTCCACGAGATCTCATTCTTTATAGTGAAATTCACCCGTAGCAGTAGTCTTTGTACGGAGAGCCCTGTTCGTCTTGGCAACCGCAGTGGCCTGCGTGATTGCCTCCAGACTAACCCTCCTGATTGTTTCTTCCCTTGAGTGATCTGATGATTCAGTGGGCTGATCATGATCCAAGGCAGGGAAATCAGGAAGCATAGCTGGCTGTCTACCATACAGCGCATTGTACGGAGACACTTCATTGTAGAAGGTAAATGCGTTGCTGGCAAACAAGGCTTCATGTAAGAGACGAGTGAAATTGAGAGGGATATGTAATCTATTCAATTCTTCTCCCATCACGTGTCGGAGGTGTCGAAGGATGCCGTTCCTAGCTTCGATAGTTGTAGCGTGTTGGCCACGCGCTCGAATACGAAGCTCTGTTCCCTTAGCCTTAAGGATGGCCTTTGCTGTATCATTATTCAGTGCTCCTTCCCCATCGGAGTATAGAATTTTAGCAGGACCATGCTGCATCCAAGTCGTATGATAGGCATCGAGAACAGTATGCATAGCTTTATCGGGAATCTCTGTGCCTGCTGCCCAGCGAATACAACGGTCGATGATGTGAAAAACAATATGTTCCTGTTTATAAAAGAAGAGATCACATTCGACTTCTTCGTTGAAACGTCCTGGCAGTGACACGGAAGGCATCACCGTGTTGCCTGGTTTATCCCAGGCCCGACATTCTCTACACGAGTCACAAATGCCTTTGATCAGACTCAAACGGGTTTCACCCAGACCAACCTTGGTTAGAATCATCCGCATTTTTGGCTCCTTGGCATGAAACCATCTCAGGTGGAGTTTGCGGAGTTCTCGCTGCACTACAGCTGGGTCGACGCTGCGCAGGTTTTGGAGGCTGAGCTGAACGTCGAAACGAGTCCAATCAGGGAGCCTTGGCCTTGGCCTCGGCTCTGCTTGAGGCTGCGGCGGTGGTGGAGGATCTCCTCCCTCCATGCGTCCGCGCCTTGCTGCAACTTGTGGCAGTCTACGGTGATCGTCAGAGCTGCCGGCGCCACTGTTGCCACCATTAGCCCCGTCGGCTCTGGTAATGTCATGGCTGCTGGCGCCTGCGGTTGGATCGCCCTCACCAGGCCGTGGCGGCCTAGGCGCGCGTATGCGCGCTCTCGCGGCCGGCGCCGCTTTTGCGGCTGGCGCCGCTTCTGCGGCTGGAGCCGCTTCCGCGGCTGGCGCCGCAGGAGCGGCTTGTCCCGCCGGACGCGGCTGGCCAAAGTTATCTGCAGTTTCCATTTTTCGGCAAATCTGCATTGGCCAGATATCTTGGTGTGGTGAGGATTGCTCTTCTGATATTCCTTCTTACAGCTTGGACAGTCCCAGTAATACGGTTCAACATCATACCACCGACACATCTTCGGATCCCTACTGTGCTTTTGTGATTGCTTGTAGTTGTTGTCCACACAGCCAGGGCACCCAAGACCGCCAGGTGGTGGTCGACAGATTTCTCCGTTTGGGTGTCTCCGAATTGTTGGGTCGTCCAAGTCGTAACCAGCACTGTTTGTTACGAACGCATAGCTGCGTTCACGATCGCGAATGGATCGCGACCATAAGCAAACAGGTCTTTGGCGATTTGCACCGCATCAACGATCAATGACTGCATTCTGTAGGTATACTGTGCCGCCCTTGCTAACTCTTTGTTACAAGCATTGGCGTGCACATGATTTCCTGGACAACGCTTGCCTTTGAAAGGTGCCAACAACTCTTCTTTATTTGCCATTATCTGTGTTGGCTTGCGAATGTATTGTCCAAATGAATCTTTGAGACCAGTCGTGCACTGATCAATGATTGTTTGGCAAGTGACCTTGCGTTGTGCCAGTTCTTTCCATGGCTGGATCTCATCCACCCACGTGCCCATTGGTTGTTCCCTGAGAAAGAAACGTCTTAAGTCGTATTGTAGTAGAGCGACTGTTCCACAGAACGTGATATGAGGCAGGTCCTCTTTGTGGTGTTTAAGCCACGTATCATGATTGACCTGTGCGTTGAAGTAGGAAGGGAGTCCAGTAGTTCTGCATCTTGGCTGCAGAATCGTGATCTTGACAAAGCAAGTCTTGAGGTAGTGGAGGACTGCTCTTTGTACTTCCGAGTTTCCAAGGTCAACCATAGATATCTTGTCAAGGTTCCCGCCTAACGAGAGTCCCCTCTTGAAGGCTAATATGGATATACCACCCTTGCCCCCACATAATTCAAGCATGTCCACTTGATTGTTTCTGCCGTAGCATAACGACTTGACTATCGAGAAGACATCAGCATGTGAGTCAGCGGGTTGCCCCGCCGGTAACATCATGAAGATGTCCTCTGATTCGCTGTCCGAGTCCGAGTCGTCAAGAGGAAAGTCGTTGAAATATGTGGAGCAGTCAAGCCCTTTGAGGTCCTCTCCACAGTCGTCGTTACCGTCTTCCACTTTCTTCGGAACTTTCTTCGGTTTGATGCCGGCTTCTTTGTCAGCTTTCTGCTTTTCTTTCTGTTTTATCCTGGCATCAGTGGGCAACGCAGTTTCCGCGGAGAGATCCGCTGCGGAGGACTCCGCTGTAAAATCAGGAAATGGCGGAATTTCAGGAAGGTCGTTGGTGGGTCGCGTTTGGCAACGCTCAATCGAAGGGGGAGGAGATCGATCGTCATCGACGATCGTCACACGCTTTGGGCGTGGCCTTCGCGACTCACCATTGCCATGAATAACTGGAGCCGGAGGCTCCCAGTATAGCCGAGTACTGATGTTTGTAACCCCATCAGGTAATGGAGCTACATAATTGTACCCAGTTGGCTGATCCTGGATCCTAATGTCTTGAACAATCTTGTTCGTGTCCAGGTCGGTCGTGACCCTACGAACCACATGGTCCCATTGAGGGCCCTTCTGTGGACATTGAACGTAGTGTCTGACCTTTTTGTCACCGCGTGTACACACACTGAGGTGTACCGCACTCCGCTCATTCCTGATCATGTTGGCTTTATCGAGTTGATCAAGGAAGCGTGCAATAATAATAGCCAAAGTTTTATACCGAAACTCGGCATGTTGTTGATCTTGGCCATACCAATCCAAATCATGGTCCTTGTGTGATCCTCAAGTACATCTCCATAAGTTAACCGGTATATGAGGACAAGATGTAGCAACTTGTATATAAGAACCACTGGGATATTTACTGGATCGGTCAAACTTAATGCCGAAGTGACAGAGTCTGATTCGTATAACGCTTAGCTTCAAATCTTCAATAACATCTTTGATCGGACCCTGTTTCCAGAAATACCCGGGTGGCCCCAGGATAACTATCTGCATCCTCAGAGCACGCGCTTTGATCAGGAGATTTTGTATACGTTGATTGTGTGGTCCCGCCCTCTTTCCTGGAGTACGAACGTACCAATCAGAGGGTGTGGCCACCCACAACATATTATAGTCTCCTGCCAACAAATTTCCCAAATACTGTGTTCCAGTTGAAGTCATTACCTCATTATGGGTAATCCGGTCGCATATATATCCACGGGATCGGAGTTCAGCGCAAGCTGTACGAATATCTTCGATGACGAGGCATTTTGAATGGTATTTTTCTTCTCGGGCCTCAGCGCGGCCAACGTATGTCGCGAGGAGGCCGGTATTCGGCTTCTCTTCGCAAGCGAGCGCCGCCGGCGCGCCCGCCTGCCCCCGTCAGAGGGGCATGCTGTTAGCGGATGACTCCGCAGGCGTCACTGGTGCGGCTGCGCTCACGATCTCCACGCGGGTTGGCCCCGCAAGGTCCGTCGAACCTCCGCCCGTGCAGCTTGGTGGTGGTGGCGGTGTCGCGGGTGGCCCCGCTTGGTTCTCAAGCGACCAATTATTCACCGCCTCCTGGACTGCCCAGAAAATCTTAGACTTCAGGGCATCCTTCATGTGTGGCCAGGTCCCTTCAGGACACTGTTGGCCTTTCCACCAGCTGTCGACAAAAAAAGAAAGAAAATAACAAGAAAAAAAGAAATCGAAAAAAAAACAAAAAAAAAAAAAAAAAAGGAACAAAAAAACGTGAAAAAAAAAAGCAAAAAAAAAAGTAAAAAAAAACGAAGAAAAATAAGAAAAAAGAAAAGTGACGCGTCCTGTCTACGATCGCACGGGTCGTGTCCTTCAGGAGCTGCTTGTCGAGATACGGCTCGACAATGAACGTATCAGTCGTAACGGTCATGGACTGTCCATCGCGGGTTGCCCCGCTGTTACCCCAGCGGGTGACCCCGCACCTACACCGGCGGGTGGCCCCGCATTGACGGAGTCCTCGTCGTTCTCCGTCTCGGAGTAGCCGTCATGACTACTGCGGATTGTGAAGGTGTTGGTGACCGTCTGGCTTTTAGCCCCGTCATACAATCCGCAGGGAATGGCTAGGTGTCCTGAGGGGGTCTTCTTTGCCCTCAGGACCTTGGCGCCCGTCCCCAGCTTAAGAGTATACTCTCCGCTGGGGAAGATAACCTTCTGGAAGCCTGGCTTTAGCACGATAATTGTGTCACGTGCTTCCATGGCACTCAGGCCCCAGATGGCTGGGAGGTTTGCACCTGAGCCCTCTGCGATGTTGGAGGCATATTCCTCGATGCGGGGGCTTGCCTCATTGGCGTATTGCACCCCGATCTTGAAGTTGCCCATTTTCCGACAGATCGCAGCACCCTCACCTACACCATTGATGTAGAGGGTTTTGCTCAGTGTGCATATGGCCGGTCTGTGATTGTACCTGGCCATAACCTCCTGAAAGGTTCGTGCTGTATTAGCTCCGATGATGTTTACGTTGGAGCCAATGTCTAGCATGAACGATATGCAGGGCATTCCGTCTTCGTCGGGGAAGAATGTCCCTGTCCGCGCCGCCAGAGCCATCGTACCGTGGTCATCACTATGGTACGTAATCTGTGAACCGAGCGTGCCTTTCAGTAGGCGTTGTTCCAGCACCCACTGGCTCATTGTTAACTCGGTGCACCATATTTGCTCATATTGGCGGCGCTCCTCCACGGTGATTGGTTCCTGTTCAAGGACCCAGTCATTCGCGGAGAGTGTGGAGGTCCACTCACCTCCTGGCGGAAGCGTATCCGTGATGTCACGTGTGTAAGTCAGCCCTTCCGTGTTGATCATGAAGGTATTGTGGAATTGGGCTGCTTCAGCGCTTTCCGCACTGGCCCGGCTCCTAGCACTCACCGGGCTCTCTGCACGTGAGGTTCTGGATACACCTCCGCTCCTGCCGCTCCGCCTGATATCGGCCTCCATTGCTCTCAGAAATCCTGGATTCGGAGGCCCCGTTGCGGGTGACCCCGCTTTGGCGGCGGGAGCCGCTTCGGCGGGTGGCCCCGCTGCTGGGGGCCCCTGTGCTCGAAGCGTAGGCAGGATTGGCATCTGGATGCCTTGCTCTGGCGCTGGCCATGGGTGTGTTTGTGCAGCTGGGGCACGTGCGGATGGCTCCGCCGAGGCGGCACGAGCCTCTAGTGCCTCCACTGCTTCCCGCAGCCGGCGCAGTTCCCGAGCATCCACCACATACCTTTCCTGCTGGCGCGCCTGTTCCGACTCAGCGTCGCGCTGTCCAGCATACGGAAAGTGTGCTGTGATTATGCCCGGCCCACGACATACAGCGCAAGGTGCCTCGTTTGGCGTACCTGGCCGCTGATTGCGGACGTGCTGCTGTGCAACACGATCCCAGCATATATCGTGGAAGAAATGTCCACGTGCCAGTCTCCACACCGTGGTGCCCATCTCGTAGGGGTCCATACAGATCGGGCACTGTGTGAAATTGTAATCTGAAATGACTGGCGTGGGCACGTCGGGGCGAGTCCGAGCCTGACGCTCGAAAGTAGGTTCGCCCTCCCGATATGGCGTCGGTGGTGGCAGTCTGTCTATCTGTTCAGCGGGTGGCCCCGCACCTGCGGGTGTCCCCGCTTGGTTCTCACGCTCGATCCGTCTCTGGATCGCGCGCTGTTGGCGCAGCCTAGCGTTGTCCCGAACCTGCTGCCTAGATGCCAGTATCGCTTGCTGCGTGTTGTGCACGTCGCGAATGTAGTCTGGCATGCTGCCCAGAGCGGCTGGCACCGCGAGACCAGCTGGCTGAACTACGGTCTCGGGGTCCGTCGGCGTGGGCATGTAGGCTTAGTGCGGCATAGACTGCGTGTCAACTGCTCGTGTAAACTGCAAACGGTACATCTCATTGGCCAGATTCCGAGTGTACTCGTTCGCAGGTGGCCCCGCAATCATAGGAGTGTTATTCATCTGCGCGTAGTACTCCGGGTACATCGGCGCATCCATGGCCGGTGCCTCTGCTGGTCCATGATTGTCCCATCCATATATTGGGTGTGATGCTATTCCTGGAATAAACACCTGTCGATATGGATTCGTGGGATCTGCATTCGGAGCATCATCGGAGGTCCAGCTCCAGAGAGGCCGAAAGTTGCCATGATTCGTAACATCTATGTTGCGGTTCCGCAACAGGCTGGGCACTCTATCAGCTTGTTGCTGCAAGAAGGTAGCCTGTGCTCTCAAGGTGGCCGCCCGACGTTCGTAGTCTGAGCCCTGCTGACCATCAGCGGGTGGCCCCGCACGCGCGGACGACTCCGCAGGCGTTCGCTCGGCGGGTGACCCCGCAGCCACTCCTCCTTCACTACCCCTCGGAGTGCCGAAGGGAGTGGTCGCCTGGAGTGCCGCTGCGAGCGTCGGATTCCCGCGAATCGCCTGGAGTCGTTGCCACAAGCTGTTTTCGCTCGTTTCGGACGGCGGAGTCCGATACGGCGAGCCACCATCTGATCCGCTCATGGGGACAAACCTCGCGCCTCCAGCTTGCTGCGGAGGGCGTTGTGGTTGTGTCCCTAGGATGCCGGGTGGCCCCGCAGGAGGGCGCAGGTTCCTCTGCTGTGCATCTTGGATACCTGCGTGCACCGCCCACGGGTCAGCTCGGTATAGCTGATCGGTCAGTCCAGAGACGTCAGCTGATGTCAAATGGCTGTTGAGAGCCTGGACCCAAGACTGCTGGTCCGGCCGCCACGGAGATGCTACCGTCGCCACCGGTGTGACTACTTGCTGCCATGAGCCGTCCGAGGTGTCTACGGCGGGTGTCCCCGCTCCTGCGGGTGGCCCCGCCTCAGGCATGACCTCGTCCTCCTGGGCATTCATCATGAGGACTGTCTGTGTCTCGAACGGTCGTGGAGCAACATCTTGCTCGGTCATGACCAAATTGAATGGACGACCGTCCGTCTTAGCCCAGCCCTTGAGGTACATGGCATGATCTTCCATTACCGCCACAGTTCTGTCACACATTTTAAATGGCAGATAGTCATCAGTGCGAATCCTGTCCGCGGGTTGGCCCCGCCTCCGCGTCTTGTCATAAAACAGCGGATTGGTCCAGGCTTCGCCGACCCGATATTTCGCAATGCTCACTATCTGGAGGATATGATCGGGCGGTATACGCCCGTCGTGGCCCCGTGTAATGACTATGTCATTTGCTGATCTCCATAGAGAGAAGCCACTGGACAGCATCTTGTTGATGCTGCAGAATATGAGCACCTCCGAGTCAGGACGGATGCCCGATTGAATCCTCGGGTCGCCCGGGAGGTAGGGGCAGCCATGCACAAATTGGCGCCCCCCTTTCCTCTTCGGGTTGTCCTGTGCGAGGCATGACAAGCCATTAGCAAGAATGTCCTTGACATACTCCCACTGCGTCCCGTGGATGAAATATACCGGGTCGTCTGGTTCTTTCATCCATGTTGTGATCGGCTTGAACAACGACTCGGGACAGTGGACGCCTGGACTGCTGTGGCCATTCGTAGCTCTGATGAAGTACTGTGGCCTGCGGTTCGTTGGTTGAAACCTTTTCGGCAGCAGCAGGCTATCATCAACGCACTTCATCTGGAGCCTGCCCTTCTGCATGCCGTGATGGTCAATTATCTCACAGCAGTTCAGCAGCACCCAGTACACGAATGACGAGTGGGGCCTGCCCTTGATCAGCACTTCGTGCATGTCACGATAGTGTTTATACTGATCATTTTCCTGCCAGTTTGCCAGCAGATCGTCAATGACAACCCAGCCGTCATACGGATCGAAAGTGCTGACCTTCTCGAAGTATCGGTTGTGTTTGTCCTTATAATATGGACTGTGGCGTAGAGCCGTCGAAAACCAGATCGATATCTTGGTCATCTGCTCCTTACTCGGCAGGGTCGGATCAGCGCCGTTCTGTTGCATGACCTTCAGGAGCGATTCTCTATGCTGCGCAACACGTAGTGGCGGCCTGTCTCGCAGCATGTTTCCCACCTTCTGTTGTTCGCGCCCCCAGTCGTTGTGACACTTGAAATTACGACGAACCGGACAATTAATGACTTCATATCGGTCCGTGTCGTCTGGAGTGACTCGTGGGTTGATGGGCTGCCTCGGGCCTTTGTCTACAATGCCTTGCCAATACAACTTGCATTCCAAAGGAATGACCCTCAGAGCAGACATTGTTGGCTGCCATTGTGCGGGTGGCCCCGCTAATGCAGCCGGCGGCGCCTTGACGGGTGGCCCCGCTAATGCAGCTGGCGCCGCTTTAATGGGTGGCCCTGCAGAACCTGCGGCTGACGAGGCAGCTCCTGCGGATGACTCCGCGCCAGGGTTCGGGCGACCTTTGTCAGCAGCTGCATCATCAGTCAGTTTCTGTTGGTCGCCAAACTCTTTGAGGACTCTGAAGCGTTCTTCTCTGGAGAGAGTGCCTTCTGCGGGTGTCCCCGCTGTTACGGCTGGCGCCGCTTTAGCGGGTGGCCCCGCAGAGCCCTTGTCCTCCTTAGCCTTGGCGGCCGATTCTGCCCGCACCGACCTCATCCCAGCTTCGGGCTTCGGCTGCGCTTTCATTCGTGCCGAACCTGGTCGTGGTGCAAGGCGTGGCTGATGCAGTGTTGGAGTCCAGTCACCTCGGAACGCTGCCTTAGGCTTGTCGCGAGCTTCGTCCTTGACATCGCCTTAGGTCACTGGAGGCATCGGAGTCGATGGTCCAGCAAAGACCTTCTTCCTCTCTGTCACGGATAGACCAGGAGGATCTGCCGGCTCAGGGTCGTCCATCTTGGCGATCGCTCTGACCTTCGCCCGTCCCTGCGTGTCTTCGGGGCTCTTGGACGAGGGCCTTTTCGCCGGAGTCGGTGACGACGAGGAGTCGGCTTTAGGTCTTGGAGGTGGTCTGCTGCTCTTGCCTGGTCGTGGACCAGGAGGGTCTCTCGGAGGGCCTTCTGGCTGGCCATGATCATGGGTAACCTGCCTCATCTGGTCGATGTCGGCAACACCCTTTATGGCCAGCTTGTATTTGCCATTCTCATGGCGGTAGAGTACCCTCGTGATGAGCCACTTCTGCGCCGAAGAGCTGAAGTACCAGCAGGCGCTTCCGTCAGGAAATGGATTCTCTGAACCGTCTTCCGCCGCCCATTCTTCATTTAGCTCAGTGCGGTCAGTGCCGGCGGCGGACCCGGCAGCAGAGGCAACGTCTATCCACTCGTCCGCAGATCCAGCGGCTGGTACTGCTTCTGCGGGTGACCCCGCTTCCGTGCTGGATTCTGCGGGTGACCCCGCTTCCTTACTGGATTCTGCGGGTGACCCCGCTTCCTTACTGGATTCTGCGGGCGACCCCGCTTCCTTATGGAATCGGCGGTTCCATTCCTTGAGGCGGTGGTCATTGGGAAGCTTTGCCCAATTTTCCTTGACGGTGTTGGC